TAATGTTAACCCTTACAACTGACACTAAGATTAACGCCACATTACAGTACCGTTGACTCGTACACCTGACACTAGGATTAAAACCGAGAGTTGCGTGGTGACCACCGGCCGGGTCGGACGCTCCTGAGGTCTCTCCGCACTGGCTAGTGTTTACGTTGGGTGACTGCTGGTTTGCCCTGCTGGTGGTGGTTTGCCACTGACAGGGTGACGTTTGCCTTAGCCATGGGGTCGTCTCGCCTTCCAGTGCAGAGGACATTGTCGGCTGGTCTGGCATTTACGGTACCGGTGGCCCATCCATTGGTTGGTGTCGCCCTGGTGGACGTGCTTCATGTGCAGCTGTCGGACCTGGTGGGCATCCAGCTGCTTCAGGGCCACCGTGCTGTGGTCAAGTTCCGCCTCCAGGCTGCCTTTCAAGCGTTGTGAGGGGCGTGTTTACCCTCTCCCTGATTCAGCTGGCTCAGTTAAGGTGGTGAATCTTAGTATCACCTTGACGTCTGTGGCGGTGCATGGTGCCCCCTTCGAATTTCAGGACGACTTTTTAACCTCCTGTTTTGAGCGATTTGGGACAGTGTTAAGTGTTCGTTGGAACAAGGTCGTTGCCGGGCACTGTGTTGGTATGCTTGACGGCTCTCGCACCCTGACAATGTCGCTGAAGTGTAGTGTACCGTCGTCGATGTCCGTGTTGGGATACACGCTCCGCTGCCAGTATCGGGGTCAACCGCGCACCTGTTATCGGTGTGGTCACGAGGGTCATCTGGCTGCGGCGTGCGACGTGGGAGCAACTGGTCGGGTGCATGTTTTTCGTGCGGAGGATTTCCCGCCCTTGTTACGTTCGGACGGTTCTGAGGACGGAGTAGGTGCTGTGCCTGAGGCGCCTGATTGCCTGTCTGCTGCTCCGCCTGTTGAGGCGAATTCTACGGCCTGTGCGACACGTCTGATGACTGCTGTGGCCACTGGGGTTGTTGAGCCGGTGTGTGTGGGTGTCGGGCCGTCGCCTGAGCTGCGAGTAGTGCAGGATGTCCCGGTGGAGGTCCATGTCCCGCCCCCGCCTGTGGATGTGATACCGGCTCCCGGGAACGCGGGTTCTGCTGTTTTAGAGGGGGTGCTTCGGCAGGGGGAGGTGCCTGCCGTGCCTGTGTGTGTTGGTGACTGTAGTTCTGCTCTTTCCATCCCTTTGCAGAAGCGCGCGCGTCGGTGTTCTGAGGCTGTTTCCCTGGATGATGTGGACAGTGTGGGTGATGTGGCCTCTGTGGACTCTTCGGACGGTGCGGGTGTGGCCTGTGTGGATGTGAAGATGGTGGCCGTGCCTGCGGCGGGGCCTGCTGGGCGTGGTGTGGTGCGGCCTGTCTCGAAGCGTTCACGGCGGGCTCGGAGTGTCTCTCCCCTTCGTGGTGTGCCTTGGGAGATGGTTGGGGAGTATGGTGATCTGGCGCCTCCCGCCGAGGATGATGGTGCTGTGAGGGGCTCCGAAGTTGCTACCTGTGCCTCACCTCCTGCGTCTCCTGCTGTTGGATCTCCGCAGTGGGGGTTGTGCCTGATGATCGTGACCTTGTCGTGCTGTTGCGGAAAGATGTGCGCCAGGGGGCCTCGGCTCCTGTGCCCGGTGGTGGGGTCGGTGCCGCGCCTGCCTCCCCTGCTGTATCCCCTCCTTCCTTGCTCCGGTCTGGGGATTGCCTAGTCCCGTCTGCTGGGGTCGTGCCCTGTGAGGGTCCGGAGTTGGGCCCTTATCGAGATGCCCGGGTGCTTCCGATCCCGTGGTGCTCGTCCACTGTCTGGGTGTCGCGGGTGAAGGAGTTTGTGTATAGGGTGCCAGATAGGATGTCTCAGCCGAGGGCGCCGCCTGGTGGCCGGCTGCCTGCTGACCTGCGGGTGATTTGGGAAGCGTACTGCTCGCGCTTTCCGATACACAAGTTTCCGGAGAAGTATTAGTTCCCGTCTTGCGCACACTGCTAAGCCGTGCGTGGGTCAGCTGCCTCCGTGACCACGACGCCCCGCCCCCTGGTGCGGGGTGTCTCCCTCTAACGTTCGCCTCTGTTTTCGTCGCCTCTCCTCTCTCTACGGCCCATCACATCTACCGCTTTTGACTTTCTTCTCCTCCTAACCGTCAACGCGTCTCCTTACGTCTGTCCTGGTGCAGTCATCGGGAGGGTTAACCCTTCATGCAAACTGCACCTATTCTCAAGAAGAAGAAGAGGATTAAAACCACTCAAGATAACCGGCAAATCTGGCCAAACACCATTGATGCAATAATGAATAAACGTTTATCTTGTCTGAATGTCGGGGGATCACTGTCTCCGCGGCCCGCTCTCTTACTAGGCCTTATAGTTAGTGGTCTGGTCAATCAGGCTGTTAGACACAGATGCTCGCAGTGTGATGTACGACTCAAAGCCTGGATGATCAGGTTGGTTTATTGTTGATACTACATTAATTTAACGTTGATCCTTCGTTGATTTAAGGTTACCTTAAATATACTCGAGTACATTAAGACTGTGTGGATGTCCATAACAAGTCATATGAAGGACGTAGTCATATGAAGGATCTTCGCAGGCACCCATCTTAACATCCATTAGAATGCTAGTTTAATCGTTACTTAACGTGAGAATTCTCTAAGTGCGCCTAATAGCCAAGAGCACCGCCAGATCAACGTTGATTCAGCGTCGAATCAACGCCAATTTTGGACAGTGTGCCCACTGACCTACGATCAAAAACACATCTGCATGTTACAAAAGGCTATTAACATGTTGCAATACTGAAATAGTGTGGAGTAAAGATGAGAATAGTGAGGAATGAATCACATGAACTTGATAAATCTATGAGGACATGAACTTGATAAATCTATAAGGAAATGTTGAGGCCGTTTGGGTCCGAACCCGTGTTCTTTTGACGCTGATGCGACGAAATCGTGACTCTCTTGTGACGCTGTAATGATGTCTTGGTGACACTCTTGTGATGACATTGTGACGCCGTCGTGACGCTCTTGTAACGACGTCGTGACGCTCTTGTGATGACGTCGTGACGCTCTTGTGACGCCGTCGTGACGCTATGTGTAGTGAGGCTCTTGTGTTGGAGCGAGGTTCTTGTGTCGTGGTGACGGTCTTCTATCTATGACGGTCTGGTCAACGGTCTTCGGTCTCTTGTGGCGTCGTCCGGACACTATAATAATTCTCTCAGTCAACTCTGTGAAGCTATTACTTCACACTATGTTATTGCTTATTGCATCGTTTATCATGCAGCATCAAATTGTTTTGGTAATAGTAATTCTTTTTTGCCTGTCAACCAGAAACGGTAAAGTAACACAGGGTAAATTATCAGGAAAGAGCGCTGTTGTTGGTGTTATAGATTCAGCTACTCGAAACAAGTTACAAGTAGCACGGGCTATGGTGAGCCCGTAATTTACCTGGCACAGGAGCAGGGCAAATAGCACGGGCTATGGTGAGCCCGTAGTGGACTTACCTGGCACAGGAGTGGTGCCCGAAAGAGCCCTAAGTCATTACGTCTATATAGCACTTGGAACGGATATGAGGATCATTACGGGTTATTCATGCCCGTGCCACCTCTTGGGTGGCTTAATCTTCATCAATATATCTATGAGGATCAGGATTTGGGACCACGGGAGACATCTCCCGTCACGCAGGGTGCAGTCGCACCTCCACAGATCTCCAGTATCATGTATTGATACTGGTAATGGCTCAAAAGGGCCACCACTTATGAGCTATTCATACCCGTGCCACCTTTTCGGTGGTTTCATCTTCATCTTAACACATTCACAAGGGAGATATCTCCCGTCACGCAGGGTGCATTCTCACCTCCACAGATCTCTAGTATCAGCTCTTGATACTGGTAATGGCTTAAAAGGGCCACCACTTACGGGCTATTCATACCCGTGCCACCTTTTGGGTGGCTTAATCTTCATCAATCATTCAATCAATCGATTTGGGACAGTATGGAAGGAAGGATGGTGCCCAACCCCTTAGATGGTCAAATTGTTGTTGTTGTTATAGATTCAGCTACTCGGAACAGGTTCCAAGTAGCATGGGCTATGGTGAGCCCGTAACTTACCTGGCACAGGAGCGGGGCAAGTAGCAAAGGCTATGGTGAGCCCGTAGTGGACTTACCTGGCACAAGAACGGTGCGGTAGATGGTCAAAGATTGAACGGCAACCTGCAAGAAGTAAGACCGTCGTTCTACCGTCCAGTCTAAGTGGTTGAACTAAAAAAATAGTATCTATAGTTACTGCGGATGGACGTACAAAATATGCTCCCAAAAATGTATACATTTCATATTAATTTTGTACGAGAAAAACGTCAATAACCAAACCTACAGTTTTCTACGTCAAAGGAAATATATGTACTAAATTAGGCCTATGGTTGCATATATTATTTAGAACGCTTAATTAGGCCTAAGATATTGTCAGATTTATAAATACTCTATTCCTCTTACTGATATTCGACTTAGTATTCCAATAGTATAAAACGTGAACCTTTAGTGTACAAGTCATATTCTGTACATTCCTCAGAAAGTAACTATGGGTAGTATTTAGAGGATGGTTGAGTGTAAGACAAGTGAAGGGCGCGTGTAGGAGCTTACTGGTGTTGCTCAACCATCTTGAGGAACTCTTAACCGGTAGCTAACATTATATATATATTATTTTATTTTACATCACAATTTAAAGGAGAGAGAGAGAGAGAGAGAGAGAGAGAGAGAGAGAGAGAGAGAGAGAGAGAGAGAGAGAGAGAGAGAGAGAGAGAGAGAGAGAGAGAGAGAAGCAAAAAAGATTTTACCAAAGGAAACCCCCAGTAATCATGACCAAATTCCCCACCATCCTTCCTCTCTCTCACGTCCAGATATTAACTTGCAAACTTCAGCAGCCCTTATCAATATACCCAAGAGCATGATTGTATTTCAGTCAATTTTAATGCATTACTTCCTCAGTATCTCTTTCCATATCAAGCCCAAGAAACGAACAGTCACTGTAAACTTGGTCAAGATTTCTCTGGTGGTCCACAAGAAATACCTGGCAAGAACACAGGCCGTGTGACCTGGCTATATAACCCTGGGACAGAGGAAGACATGCAGCAGTTGGTTCCCTGACGCTGAACTGTAGCCACCATGAACTGTCTGCGAGCTCTTGTGAGTATCATTAACCCTTAACCTGCCATACTGCTGGTGCTTACTTGGAGTATACCTGGAGACTTATAATGCTTGCACTAGTGCTGGCGATAGTTCTAGTACAATGCTTTGCAGTACTGCTGGTGCTAGTACTAGTGTTGCGACTGACGCAACATACTACTGAATAATACTATTCTTTAGTATTTTAGTAATACTGAAATATTTCAATATTTTTTTGGACATAACACATATTCCAGTCATTTGAGTTTTATTGACCAGACTAGCTGCATTTTAAGTTGCAATATTCTGACTGCTTCTTTAACATTTTATTTAAATAAAGCTCAACTCTAAAGTGGTAATTTGCGTAGTCTGGAAGACGTTCATATAAAAGCATGCAGCCATATATGAACGTGCATTTACGCTTTGGAATCAGCGTAAAACAGACCACTCAAGACCGTTATAGCAAGCAGCATTGAGATATATTTCACAAGTTGGTCAGAAACGCTCTGTATGTTAGTGGCTTTATATATATTACCATGAGTACCTACCAGTGCTTCACTGTATCATGGTTAATATGGACTTAAATAATAATAATAATAATAATAATAATAATAATAATAATAATAATAATAATAATAATTATAATAATAATAATAACAATAATAATGTTTGACCTTATCCTCTCTTATCTTCCCAGACGCTGGTGATGGTGGTGGTGATGGCCGTGGTGTGTGTGGCCATGGCCGACCCTGACCCTGAGGCAGGAGGCAGCTATGGTCGTGGTGGATTCGGCGGTGGTGGACTCGGTGGTGGTGGATTCGGCGGTGGTGGATTCGGCGGTGGTGGATTCGGCGGTGGTGGATTTGGTGGTGGTGGATTAGGTGGTGGATTCGGCGGAGGTAGATTCGGTGGAGGATTCGGAGGTGGAAAATTCCATGGCAGAAAACACGGTCACTACGGGAAGTAGAGGCTGGACACACCCGTGAACGACACCCACCCCTAATAACGACCACAACGACCACTGATGCCCCTCCTCAAAACTGACACTGAAACATCTCCAACATACGACCTCCCGAAACAACTTCCCACAAAGAAAATGCATAATAAATAAATACATTATACAAATATTATTTCTTATCCTTTGATTCTTAAATTACTTTCATGTTTGTAACAAAATAGTAATGAAGCGCAGACATAAATTACCTGAATGTAATTATATACATTTCTACGTTGAGAGGTTCGCTGGCTGTCAGAAGAGACGAGGAACCTGTTGAGACCCGCCGCCTCACAGAGCACTTTACAATACTTCATTACTAAATGTATCTAAGCGTAGTAAATACTACTACATTTCTTATAATCAACATTGGAGGTGATTCTATAACCATCAGTCAAGCTACGCTCACAGCTACTGCTCAAGAGGAGGTGGAACCACAGCAAGATAATTTATGTATATACGAAATATTATATTCAGTAAGAGAATACTATACAGACAAGGTTGTGGGCTAATATGTCTATATACAAACCTAACGAAACACCTGACACTGGGGTTTAAAGCACATTACAGTAATGTTAACCCTTACAACTGACACTAAGATTAACGCCACATTACAGTACCGTTGACTCGTACACCTGACACTGGGGTTTAAAGCACATTACAGTAATGTTAACCCTTACAACTGACACTAAGATTAACGCCACATTACAGTACCGTTGACTCGTACACCTGACACTGGGGTTTAAAGCACATTACAGTAATGTTAACCCTTACAACTGACACTAAGATTAACGCCACATTACAGTACCGTTGACTCGTACACCTGACACTGGGGTTTAAAGCACATTACAGTAATGTTAACCCTTACAACTGACACTAAGATTAACGCCACATTACAGTACCGTTGACTCGTACAACTGACACTAAGATTAACGCCACGTTACAGTACCGTTGACTCGTACACCTGACACTAGGATTAAAACCACTCAAGATAACCGGCAAATCTGGCCAAACACCATTGATGCAATAATGAATAAACGTTTATCTTGTCTGAATGTCGGGGGATCACTGTCTCCGCGGCCCGCTCTCTTACTAGGCCTTATAGTTAGTGGTCTGGTCAATCAGGCTGTTAGACACAGATGCTCGCAGTGTGATGTACGACTCAAAGCCTGGATGATCAGGTTGGTTTATTGTTGATACTACATTAATTTAACGTTGATCCTTCGTTGATTTAAGGTTACCTTAAATATACTCGAGTACATTAAGACTGTGTGGATGTCCATAACAAGTCATATGAAGGACGTAGTCATATGAAGGATCTTCGCAGGCACCCATCTTAACATCCATTAGAATGCTAGTTTAATCGTTACTTAACGTGAGAATTCTCTAAGTGCGCCTAATAGCGAAGAGCACCGCCAGATCAACGTTGATTCAGCGTCGAATCAACGCCAATTTTGGACAGTGTGCCCACTGACCTACGATCAAAAACACATCTGCATGTTACAAAAGGCTATTAACATGTTGCAATACTGAAATAGTGTGGAGAAAAGATGAGAATAGTGAGGAATGAATCACATGAACTTGATAAATCTATGAGGACATGAACTTGATAAATCTATAAGGAAATGTTGAGGCCGTTTGGGTCCGAACCCGTGTTCTTTGACGCTGATGCGACGAAATCGTGACTCTCTTGTGACGCTGTAATGATGTCTTGGTGACACTCTTGTGATGACATTGTGACGCCGTCGTGACGCTCTTGTAACGACGTCGTGACGCTCTTGTGATGACGTCGTGACGCTCTTGTGACGACGCCGTGACGCTTTGTGTCGTGGTGAGGCTCTTGTGTTGGAGCGACGTTCTTGTGTCGTGGTGACGGTCTTCTATCTATGACGGTCTGGTCAACGGTCTTCGGTCTCTTGTGGCTTCGTCCGGACACTATAATAATTCTCCCAATCAACTCTGTGATGCTATTACTTCACACTATGTTATTGCTTATTGCATCGTTTATCATGCAGCATCAAATTGTTTTGGTAATAGTAATTCTTTTTTGCCTGTCAACCAGAAACGGTAAGGTAAGACAGGATAAATGTTGTTGTTGTTGTTTTAGATTCAGCTACTCAGAACAATAAGTTCCAGTAGCACGGGCTATGGTGAGCCCGTAAGTGGAGGCTCTTTGGAGCCATTATCTGTATCAGTGGCTGATACTAGAGATCTGGCGATGGATGGGGGTCTTCATGATGGTTTTCAGCCTGGAGGGCTGGCTATACCAGTTATGGAGCTGGTGGGGTTAGTGTAGACCTCTAGGTTTTCCGTTTTTTCTTTGCCTGCGACTTTGGCTGAGCAGTGCTGTCGTTGGAGTTTGGTGACGTGGCCTCCATGAGGAAGTCTTGAACCGTGTAGGTGTCGTATTTGTGATGCGGCGGTGGAGCTCCTACTATGATTTCCTCGTCTGAGGAGTCCGTAACCTCCGTAGTGGGCGTTTTTGTCTTTCGCCTCGCAGCCTTAGGTAGGTTTAGGTGTCGTTGATTGGTGGTTGTAGCTATTTCAGGAGCGCTGGTGGTGCTGTTATCGTTTGTAGACAGCACGTCTGCTAGCGCGGCTGCTGAGATAGTGATGGTAGGAGTGTTGGGAGCTGGAGAAGGAATTACCTCTGTTTGTGTCGCCCGGGTCATGGGCGGTTCTGGAGTCGGTGTTGAAGTTGACCGCATGGTCGTCCTGGTGGTAGTCTCCGGAGTGGTAGAGGAGGCAGTGAGATTTACGCTAGTGGCTATGATGGGGGCCAGGCCATTGTCTATGTATAATGCGTTTAGTTCACTGACAAAGCGCTGGTTGTCTGGTCCTGCAAGCCTTTCCGCTAGTTTAAGAAGACCAGGGATAATGCCTGCACGTGATGCAGGGGGCTGTGAAGGAGCCTGTGGGACCTTGGGTCCCCAATGAGAAGGCTGTGTCGCCTGCTGGGAGGAGCCACATGTTGGTAGGACCGGAAAGTCTTCTGGTCGACTAGTGAGAGCTAAGGTGGTGGGTTGAACGCTTGGGGCTCTGGTCGAGGAGGTAGACGAGTTGTTTCTTTTGGCTTCAACCTGGGCCTTGATGATTTCCTGTCTGCGGGGGCAGCGGTAGGAAATTGCGGGGTGATTGCCATCACAGAGCAAGCAGTGATGGACTGTTGCCTTGCATATGGAGTAGTGATGGTCCAGTGCGCACAGGCTGCACCTCTGGACAGGGTGCTGACACTTGTTGGTCGGGTGGGAGAGCTCGTAGCACTTAAAGCACTGCTGGATCTCATGGTATCGTTCCTTTTTTATTTGGTGGGGTGGTATTTTTAGGCCGAAGCAGTAGAATCCTTGTGTGGCAGCCTGGGTGGCCGCAGCTATGGTGGTGAACGTAATCTTCATTGATGTTTTGTCGGTGTTGCAGAACTCTAGGTTGAATACCGACAGGTTTGGATTTTCGTCCTCGATATTGTTTATGATATGATGTTGAGGTCGCTCAGCGATCCACCGGCTGGTCCTGCTGGTAAAAACAGTTCTTCCGGCCAGGAACTGACGTGGGAAGTGAGGATGTAGGTAGTGCTCTTTGCGAAGAATGGCATCGTTAGTGAGGAGTTTTTCTAGCTCCTCTTCACATGAAAAGTAGAGCACGATATCTTCACCTTCCTGACTAATGTCAGCGGGTTTGAGGCCAGTTACGTCCTTCAGGACCTTTAAAGTATTGCTTCTTCCGATAGCATGACCGTCAAGTGGAGTAGCTCTGACCTTAAGACGTTTGGGTCGCATTGTGACCACACTGCGCCTTGTGATGTGTTGGCGGGAGATGTCTCTCCCGTCTGCCACCTCTTGGGTGGCCTAATCTTCATCAATATATCTATGAGAATCAGGATTTGGGACAGTATGGAGGGAAGGATGGTGCCCAACCCCTTAGATGGTCAAATTGTTGTTGTTGTTATAGATTCAGCTACTCGGAACAGGTTCCAAGTAGCACGGGCTATGGTGAGCCCGTAACTTACCTGGCACAGGAGCGGGGCAAGTAGCAAAGGCTAAGGTGAGCCCGTAGTGGACTTGCCTGGCACAAGAACGGTGCGGTAGATGGTCAAAGATTGAACGGCAACCTGCAAGAAGTAAGACCGTCGTTCTACCGTCCAGTCTAAGTGGTTGAACCAAAAAATAGTATCTATAGTTACTGCGGATGGACGTACAAAATATGCTCCCAAAAATGTTTACATTTCATATTAATTTTGTACGAGAAAAACGTCAATAACCAAACCTACAGTTTTGTACGTCAATCAAAGGAAATAAATGTACTAAATTAGGCCTATGGTTGCATATATTAGTATTTGGAACGCTTAATTAGGCCTAGGATATTGTCGGATTTATAAATACTCTATTCTTCTTACTGATATTCGACTTAGTATTCTAATAGTATAAAACGTGAACCTTTAGTGTACAAGTCATATTCTGTACATTCCTCAGAAAGTAACTGTAGGTAGTATTTAGAGGATGGTTGAGTGTAAGACGAGTGAAGGGCGCGTGTAGGAACTTACTGGTGTTGCTCAACCATCTTGAGGAACTCTTAACTGGTACCTAACATTATATATATATTATTTTATTTTACATCACAATTTAAAGGAGAGAGAGAGAGAGAGAGAGAGAGAGAGAGAGAGAGAGAGAGAGAGAGAGAGAGAGAGAGAGAGAGAGAGAGAGAGAGAGAGAGAGAGAGAGAGAGACAGACAGAGAGAGAGAGAGAGAGAGAGAGATAGAGAGAGAGAGGAGAAGAGAGAGAGAGAGGAATAGCGATAGAGAGATAGAGAACATACAGAGAGAGAGAGAAGAGAGAGAGAGAGAGAGAGAGAGAGAGAGAGAGAGAGAGAGAGAGAGAGAGAGAGAGAGAGAGAGAGAGAGAAGAGAGAGAGAAGCAAAAAAGATTTTACCAAAGGAAACCCCCAGTAATCATGACCAAATTCCCCACCATCCTTCCCCTCTGTCACGTCCAGATATTATCTTGCAAACTTCAGCAGCCCTTATCAATATACCCAAGAGCATGATTGTATTTCAGACAATTTTAATGCATTACTTCCTCAGTATCTCTTTCCATATCAAGCCCAAGAAACGAACAGTCACTGTAAACTTGGTCAAGATTTCTCTGGTGAATGAAATACCTGGCAAGAACAGAGGCCGTGTGACCTGGCTATATAACCCTGGGACAGAGGAAGACATGCAGCAGTTGGTTCCCTGACGCTGAACTGTAGCCACCATGAACTGTCTGCGAGCTCTTGTGAGTATCATTAACCCTTAACCTGCCATACTGCTGGTGCTTACTTGGAGTATACCTGGAGACTTATAATGCTTGCACTAGTGCTGGCGATAGTTCTAGTGCAATGCTTTGCAGTACTGCTGGTGCCCTGGTGCTAGTACTAGTGTTGCGACTGACGCAACATACTACTGAATAATACTATTCTTTAGTATTTTAGTAATATTGAAATATTTCAATATTTTTTTGGACATAACACATATTCCAGTCATTTGAGTTTTACTGAACAGACTAGCTGCATTTTAAGTTGCAATATTCTGACTGCTTCTTTAACATTTTATTTAAATAAAGCTCAACTTTAAAGTGGTAATTTGCGTAGTCTGGAAGACGTTCATATAAAAGCATGCAGCCATATATGAACGTGCATTTACGCTTTGGAATCAGCGTAAAACAGACCACTCAAGACCGTTATAGCAAGCAGCATTGAGATAGATATATTTCACAATTTGGTCAGAAACGCTCTGTATGTTAGTGGCTTTATATATATTACCATGTGTACCTACCAGTGCTTCACTGTATCATGGTTAATATGGACTTAAATAATAATAATAATAATAATAATAATTATAATAATAATAATAACAATAATAATGTTTGACCTTATCCTCTCTTATCTTCCCAGACGCTGGTGATGGTGGTGGTGATGGCCGTGGTGTGTGTGGCCATGGCCGACCCTGACCCTGAGGCAGGAGGCAGCTATGGTCGTGGTGGATTTGGCGGTGGTGGATTCGGTGGTGGTGGATTCGGCGGTGGTGGATTCGGCGGTGGTGGATTTGGTGGTGGTGGACTAGGTGGTGGATTCGGCGGAGGTAGATTCGGTGGAGGCTTCGGAGGTGGAAAATTCCATCGCGGAAAACACGGTCACTACGGGAAGTAGAGGCTGGACACACCCGTGAACGACACCCACCCCTAATAACGACCACAACGACCACTAATGCCCCTCCTCAAAACTGACACTGAAACATCTCCAACATACGACCTCCCGAAACAACTTCCCACAAAGAAAATGCATAATAAATAAATACATTATACAAATATTATTTCTTATCCTTTGATTCTTAAATTACTTTCATGTTTGTAACAAAATAGTAATGAAGCGCAGACATAAATTATCTGAAAGTAATTAAATACATTTCTACGTTGAGAGGTTCGCTGGCTGTCAGAAGAGACGAGGAACCTGTTGAGACCCGCCGCCTCACAGAGCACTTTACAATACTTCATTACTAAATGTATCTAAGCGTAGTAAATACTACTACATTTCTTATAATCAACATTGGAGGTGATTCTATAACCATCAGTCAAGCTACGCTCACAGCTACTGCTCAAGAGGAGGTGGAACCAAAGCAAGATAATTTATGTATATACGAAGTATTATATTTAGTAAGAGCTAATACAAGGCTGGGGTCTAGTATGTCTACATACAATCCTAACCCAACACATGACACCATGGTTAAAGCCACATTACAGTACTATTCACCCAGAACAACTGACACTAAGATAAACGCCACATTACAGTACCATTGACTCGATCACCTGACACTAGGATTAAAAACCCTTGAAGATAACCTGCAAATCTGGGTAAACAACATTGATGCAATAGTGAATAAACGTTGTCTATATGTCGAGGGATCAATGTCTCCGCGGCCCGCTCACTTACTAGGTCTTATAGTTAGTGGTTCGGTCAATCAGTTGGAGGACGGGAGAGACATCTCCCGCCAACACATCACAAGGCGCAGTGTGGTCACAATGCGACCCAAACGTCTTAAGGTCAGAGCTACTCCACTTGACGGTCATGCTATCGGAAGAAGCAATACTTTAAAGGTCCTGAAGGACGTAACTGGCCTCAAACCCGCTGATATTAGTCAGGAAGGTGAAGATATCGTGCTTTACTTTTCATGTGAAGAGGAGCTAGAAAAACTCCTCACTAACGATGCCTTTTTTCGCAAAGAGCACTACCTACATCCACACTTCCCACGTCAGTTCCTGGCCGGAAGAACTGTTTTTACCAGCAAGACCAGCCGGTGGATCGCTGAGCGACCTCAACATCATATCATAAACAATATCGAGGACGAAAATCCAAACCTGTCGGTATTCAACCTAGAGTTCTGCAACACCGACAAAACATCAATGAAGATTACGTTCACCACCATAGCTGCGGCCACCCAGGCTGCCACACAAGGATTCTACTGCTTCGGCCTAAAAATACCACCCCACCAAATAAAAAAGGAACGATACCATGAGATCCAGCAGTGCTTTAAGTGCTACGAGCTCTCCCACCCGACCAACAAGTGTCAGCACCCTGTCCAGAGGTGCAGCCTGTGCGCACTGGACCATCACTACTCCATATGCAAGGTAACAGTCCATCACTGCTTGCTCTGTGATGGCAATCACCCCGCAATTTCCTACCGCTGCCCCCGCAGACAGGAACTCATCAAAGCCCAGGTTGAAGCCAAAAGAAACAACTCGTCTACCTCCTCGACCAGAGCCCCAAGCGTTCAACTCACCACCTTAGCTCTCACTAGTCGACCAGAAGACTTTCCGGTCCTACCATCATGTGGCTCCTCCCAGCAGGCGACACAGCCTTCTCATTGGGGACCCAAGGTCCGCAAGGTCCCACAGGCTCCTTCACAGCCCCCTGCATCACGTGCAGGCATTATCCCTGGTCTTCTTAAACTAGCGGAAAGGCTTGCAGGACCAGACAACCAGCGTTTTGTCAGTGAACTAAACGCATTATATATAGACAATGGCCTGGCCCCCATCATAGCCACTAGCGTAAATCTCACTGCCTCCTCTACCACTCCGGAGACTACCACCAGGACGACCAGGTGGTCAACTTCAACACCGACTCCAGAACCGCCCATGACCCGGGCGACACAAACATAGGTAATTCCTTCTCCAGCTCCCAACACTCCTACCATCACTATCTCAGCAGCCGCGCTAGCAGACGTGCTGTCTACAAACGATAACAGCACCACCAGCGCTCCTGAAATAGCTGCAACCACCAATCAACGACACCTAAACCTACCTAAGGCTGCGAGGCGAAAGACAAAAACGCCCACTACGGAGGTTACGGACTCCTCAGACGAGGAAATCATAGTAGGATTAAATTCTACTACATTCTACTACAAATTCGCGCGTTAAATTCTACTACATTTCTTATAATCAACATTAAATTAGGCCTAACATTGCATATATTACATCCAGGAATGCTTTTTTCCGAGAGAGAGAGAGGGGGAAAAGCAAAAAATGATTTTACAATAGGAAACCCCCAGTAATCATGATCAAATTCCAAACCATCCTTCCCCTTCTGTCACGTCCAGATATTAAGTTGGAAACTTTAGCAGCCCTTATCAATATTCCCAAGAGCATGATTGTAGTTTAATCAATTTGAATACATTACTTCCTCAGTATTTCTTTCCATATCAAGCCCAAGAAACGAAGAATCGATGTAATTCTGGTCAAGATTTGTCTGGTTATCCACAAGACTCACTTTGGTAAGAACACAGGCCGAGTGACCTGCCTATATAAAACTGAAGCAGACGACGACATGCAACAGTTGGTTCCCTGACGCTGAACTGTAGCCACCATGAACTGTCTGCGAGCTCTTGTGAGTATCCTAAACCCTTAACCAGGTAAGCACCATGCATACTGCTGATGCTTACTTGGAGTTTAGCTGGAGAGGATTCATGCTTGTACTAGTGCTGCCGCTAGTGAGGGAACGACTGAATTTCTATTGCTATTGGTAGAACTGACAATGGTATTGGAAACAGTATTGCCATTGGTAATATTGTTGACACCGGTGCTAGGGCTGACACTGTCTAAAGTGCTAGGTGCTAAGTGTCCGTGCTAGGGTTGATTACTGCCAAAGACACTAGTGTTGTAATTGTACTTATTCATGTATTAGTGTATGTTCAACATTACATATTAGTGAACATGCACGAGAGGGCACTTTCTGCCAAAAATAGTATCTGCCAAGTATGAAATAGTTGGTCTTTTGCAGGTCTCTGTATACTATTTGTGGCCATGATACTGATGTTAGTAGAAGTGTTGGCGCCATTACTAGTATTTGTGCTTGTACAGGCATTACAACTAGTGCTGCTCGTAATATGACAGATCCATGTCATCAGAGACGCTACAGCATCTCTGCTCTAGTGTAACTCATCTCTGGCTCACACAGCTCACTCTCCACACAACCTAATGACTCTTATTACATAAAATCTAGGTGTCAAACTTAAAAGTTAAGAGACAACAGTATTATCTAAGCTTAGCATGATAATGGTGTTTGCCATATACTCAGTAATTTGATTTTATTTCAATATTTTTTGGTTATATCATATATCCCAGTTATTTGAGTTTTGTTGAACAGATCCGATACATTTCGAATTGCAATATTTTGACTACTTCCTCAACATTTTATGGAAATAAAACTCAACTTTGACGCAGTAGTTTGCACAGTCAAAAAGACGTTCATAAAATCACCATAAAACAGACCACTCAAGACTGTCATATGAAGCAACAATTAGTTATATTCACAAGTTGGCTTTATATATATTACCATGCTATAGTCCTTGATAATGTGATGAAGCACGAAAACATTCCGAAGTTACGTTTCATTTTCCTAGTGGGCACTTACGCAAAACTTGCCATGTGTACTTACCAGTGCTCCACTGAGTCACGTTTCAAATGGACTTAATAATAGTAATATTAATTTATATTATTAGTATGACATCTTTATCTCTTATCTTCTCAGACGCTGGTGGTGGTGGTGGTGATGGCCGTGGTGTGGGGGACCATGGCCGACCCTGACCCTGAGGCAGGAGGCGGCTATGGTCGTGGTGGATTCGGTGGTGGCGGATTCGGCGGTAGAGGATTCGGTGGGGGAGGATTCGGTGGTGGTGGATTTGGTGGTGGTGGAAGATTCGGGGGAGGATTCGGCGGTGGAAAATTTGCCGGTGGAGGATTCGGTGGGGGAAAATTCGGTAGCAGCGGCACAGTTCACGGTAACTGGAAGTAGTAGCTCACGGCTGAAGGGACCCGTGACGACACCCGCCCGTGAGAACGACCACATCGAGCACCATCGACCACTGACGCCAGTTTACCACATTAACAATGCAACATCTCCAACATACGACATCCCTAAAAACTTCCCACAAAGAAAATGCATGACAAATAAATACATGATGTATCAAATATAATATTTGTTATCCTTTGTTCTTAAATTACTTTCATATTTGTTATAAGTTTGTAATGAAATGAAGGCATAAAATGATCTGAACATAATAAATTAAAATTGAATTAAATACTAGGATTAAAGCCACACAATATGGTACTGTTGACCCATACACCTGACACTAGGATTAAAGCCACACAATATGGTACTGTTGATCCACACATCTGACACTAGGATTAAAGCCACACAATATGGTACTGTTGACCCATACACCTGACACTAGGATTAAAGCCACACAATATGGCACTGTTGATCCATATACCTGACACTAGGATTAAAGCCACACAATATGGTACTGTTGACCCATACACCTGACACTAGGATTAAAGCCACACAATATGGTACTGTTGATCCATATACCTGACACTAGGATTAAAGCCACACAATATGGTACTGTTGATCCATACACCTGACACTAGGATTCAAGCCACACAATATGGTACTGTTGACCCATACATCTGACACTAGGATTCAAGCCACACAATATGGTACCATTATCCCATACACCTGACACTAAGAGTGGATTCTAGTTCGACTCTTGGTTTATAACACACGTACAAACAATTATTCACGTACACTCTTAAATTAATGCAACAATGTCTGCCATTTTAATAAAATAGAGGACATACATTTACTTTGATATTATCATATTATTTACAAATTATATGCCGGTGAGGGTGATCAAAATTTCGGAATTTTAAAGTGTGTTCACTATTTTATATTTACATTCTTGGGGACCCCCAGCGCCTCCAGACAGCCCATTATCTCCAGTTGCCACTCCGTTAAAATTGCAACTGTACGATCCCAAGCAACCCAGCTAACATATAGAGGCCGATGCGCAGAAAACGACAGTATCATGGAGTTGTAATTTGTACTAATACATCACATTTTTAAAGGATTGATTGAACCGTTAAATATGCGACCTATTAGGTGACAGGCACCATCCCCTGATACTACCTTATCCTCGTGGACATCCATCTCAAAATTTATTACAATGTTACATTTTATCGTTACACAACATTCCAGTCTTTTCCCTGTCGGTCCCATATCTATGAGCAACGCAAATTTAACGCCGGATCAACATCATTCACACTGATCCAGCGTTGAATTGACGTTGATAACGTTTATTCAATGTCGAACCAACGCAAATCTTGGATATTGTACCCACTGGTATACGATCAAAAACACATCTGCTTGTTACAAAAGGCTATTAACATGTTGCAATACTGAAATAGTGTTGTTGAAAGATAGGAATAGTGAGTAATAAATCACAAAAACTTGATAAATCTATAAGAAAATAGTAAGGCCGTTTGGGGCTGAACCCTCGTTCCTGAACTCCCAAGACACACGCACCGACGACGGTTCATTTTGGTTCATGCTGTCAACCGTGTGTGTGTGTGTATCTGGGGAGTCCAGGGATGCGGATTCGAATCCATTGTACCGCCTTAATAACTTCTCATAAGCAAAGTGGCTCTGCAGCGCATCGATATTCATACCAAAAGTACGTGAATACTCGCAATTGGATATATATTACATTCATGGGTGGTTGGGTCTATTCTGGAATATATATATATTTATATATATGAAGCATGTTGGGTAGGGGAGTGTCATAGGCTAGTCGAGGTCAAGCTCCAATGACACACGACACACAGTGACAAGATATATATAATAAAATTATATATATATATATATATATATATATATATATATATATATATGTATATATATATATATATATATATATATATATATATATATATATATATATATATATATATATATATGACGAAGACAACCTTTATAGTGCTTGTACTTGTGCTGCTGCTTCTGGTATTATTGGTGCTGGTAATTTTGACGCTGAGTTGACGTTCCGCGACATCAAATTGTTTAGGTAATTGTAATTCTCTTTTTCCTGTCAGCCAAAAGCGGTAAGACAAGGTAAATTATCAGGAAAGAGCGCTAAGTCATTACGTATATATAATACTTGGAAGGGATATGAGGATCAGGATTTGAGACAGTATAGGGGGAAGGATGGTGTCCAATCACTTGAATGGTCGAGGATTGAACGGCAACCTGCAAGAAGCTAGACCGTCCGAGATCGAACTGGGAACCTTAGGACTACGAATGCTGAGCACTGTCCACACAGCCGTCAGGCCCCTTGAATAAATCGTGACTAAATTCCTCATCATTCTTCCATTATTAAATTCCTCACTATACTTCCCCTCTAAGGGCAGTAAGAAGTGTGTTCTGACGCAAATTTGATGTTCTTTTGCCACAGATGTGATGCCAATGTGAGGCAAAAGTAATTTTTGCGACCAATACTCTCATACTTCTATTATACTAATATTATTATCTAAAACCTTGTCTATTCTGCCGGAAAATAATTCAGGCACATTATTTTTCAATGAACATCTAGTAAATACTTGACGAGAAATGCCAGATTTAGTACATGTGTTTGATAGCAATAATATACGCATGAAGAGAGGCCGAGCTACGATTCAGTGATCACAAAAATCCTTATTAGGTAGTAATTAAGAATGTTTGCCCATTAATTTCCCACTTATTTCTAATTTGAGGAAAGTGAGAGTTTGTATAAAGCAGATAAAAATTTTCAAGGTTAATCCTGCTGCGCCCCATTACACAAATGAGAAATTATATAATTTGAAGACTGGCGACCATCAATCATCATTAAATTCACTTACATCCTTCCCATGGTCAGTATGGAACTCGTATACATGGATAGTTGATTACTAATATTTCCAAATACATATTTAGTAGTTAAGGCTAATGTTAGTTACAATCTCTTTCGAATATTTGGTATTAAATCCCTGTCAATACTTCTCTGGCGGTCCACAAGAATTACCTGGCAAGAACAGAGGCCGTGTGACCTGGCTATATAACCCTGAGGCAGACGACGACATGCAGCAGTTGGTTCCCTGACGCTGAACTGTAGCCACCATGAACTGTCTGCGAGCTCTTGTGAGTATCATTAACCCTTAACCTGCCATACTGCTGGTGCTTGGTGCTTGTAATTGCTTGGTGTGATTGTGCTTTTGCTTGTACTAGTACTGATGCTTTTACTACTTGTGCTAGTTCTGGTGTTTTTACTAGTGCTGTGCCTGAACTAGAGATGGCGATTGTACTAATTCTGCCTGGATCAACATCCCCTAAATTGTCCAGGATTTTAAGTTTCGGTGAGACTCGCGGTTGATAGGCTTGAAGCCCAACACCAAACCAAGTGACCAAGGTCAGTAGCGTTGCGTTACATTCACAGAGTAACAATGTTGCTGTAATTTTGAATTACAGGAAAGAAAAAACAAAACTTTGACCACTTCCTGTCTTTCGTTCCCAGACGTTGGTGGTGGTGGTGATGGCAGTGGTGTGCGGGGCCGACCCTGAACCTGGCTTAGATATCCTTCGATTATTTGGTATTAATTTAGTCAGCGGCGGTAATACCGTCAGAAGGGGTACTACCCTCAGAGTGGGTAATACTATCGGAGGTGGTATATTAGGTGCTGGTCCTGGTTTCACTGGGAGCACATTCCCGAGTGGATTCCCAAGTGGATTCCAGAGTGGTCTTCGCGTCGGGTAAGTTCACACACTCAAGAGACCAGTTCTTAGTTCAACACCATTGTCGTATTTGTGAAAATATTTACAGTAATAATGAACATCTGCTTATCAATGAATGCTGTATGTAATAATACCCAAAGGGAAAATATAGAACAGCTTATTGATAATTAAATATAGGTTAACCCAGTCAGTGCAGGAACCTCCACAGCTGAGGAGTGCGTGATGCATGACTATTACAAGCATTTTGTCATTATGTTACTGGATGTAGATGGATATTATATAGCAGTGATGTAACTTGCCAGGTGAATATTTCTCTCGGGAGTCCGATTATACTTAATGGTTGTATTCCCACTGTAGAGGCAGAGGGGGTGGCGGCATCAGTGGCAGTCGTGGTGGCGGAGGTGGTCGTGTTCGCAGAGTTCGACGAAGAAGCTAAAGTAAAAAACTTCATTGAAGCGAGCTTTGGCTGCCTCTCATAATGATAAAGTTTTATTGTAGGTAATTCCTTAACTGCTGGAAGTTATTTTTGTCCTCTCTAATCTTCATTATTTATTTATTTACTTGTCTATGTCAAGGAAATCAGTAGTACTATTAGTTTAAACAATCTTTATTAAACAGAACTAAAGCTGTATCTGAGACTGAGAGTTTCATTTTGCAGTTGCTTTGTTATTGTTGCCGGAAGTTATTACACTTAAGAAAATAGTGGTTGAAGGAATGTCCAACTGGTCGTCCACAATATCTATACTTTGTTTCTCCTTCTCTGTTATTGATCTTATAATCCCCCAAGCAAATGGGCAGCGGATAGCAGCAAATGAAGCGCACTGGATAACATCAAATGGATAACAACAAATTTATTGATGTCCACATTGACAAGAAGCTGAAGTTCATTTGCCATATACAAAATAAAAAAGGTTTCTAAAACAGCAGGTATTTTCTCTAAAATCCGATACTACGTACCTCGCCGTGATTTGGTAACACTACATAATTCACTCGCCTACGATATCTTCGCCTGAGGATCTACAATCGAAAATTACCTACAACACATAATTACTTAACATAAATCAGCAATTAAAAAATTATAACAAACTTCAATCCCAGACTGTATGCAGTACCTTAATTAAAAAATCCTTGACTCTGGCAAATATCAAGTTACTTCCGCCAAATCCTTTAACAACCAGGTACCATTTTTACTGTTGGGTA